AGGCATCACTAAAGACACACAGTTCAGTGTAAGTGGACATGGAAAGGGAGGCTGGTACATAGCAGCGCGGCACTCTTAGGCTGCTCAGATCTTGGAGGGACATTTTCCATGTTTCCCATGCGTCCATCTCCTCTTGGGGGAGAGAAGCATCCCAATCTTGGACTCCATTTGACATTTTGCGTAACAAGAGTCTGCCTTTGATTGTCACTGGCGATGCTAGTCCCAAGGGGTCAAAGATGCTATTAATCACTGAGAGAACCCCGCGGCGGGTATAGGGTTTGTCATTGACAGCTACCTTGAAGGTGAATGAATCAGTGTTAATGTCCCAGCACATTCCTAGACTTCTCTGGGCCGGTAAAGCATCGTCGCCGAGACTCAAGTCTTTGATGCCGGAGGCCAAATCCTCTGGCTTGAATGCTTGCATGACTGAGACACTATTCGAGGCGATTTTGTGGAGCTTGAGGTTAGACTCAGCTAAGGATGCACATGTGCGCCTGAGCAGATCGATGGCTGCAGACTCTGTGGGAACCGAAATCAGCCCGTCATCGACGTAGAAGTGTCTCTCGACGAAGTGTCTTGTGTCTGCTCCAAACTTTGCCTCACCTTCCTGGATGGCTCTTCGAAGGCAATAGATGGCTACCGCTGGTGACGGGCTATTACCGAAAACATGTACCCGCATGCGGTACTCCTGCACCTCTTTTGACAAGTCATTGTCCTTGTGCCACAGGAACCTCAAATAGTCTCTGTGGTCTGGTCTAACCAGGAACCCGTAAAACATCTGCTGAATGTCAGCAGTGGTTGCAATGAGCTCTTTCCTAAACCGAATCAGGACACCAAGGAGGGTGTTATTGAGATCAGGGCCCGTTAATAACACTGAATTGAGTGACACACCAGACTGCTCGGCACTAGAGTCAAAGACCACCCGTATCTGACCGGGCTTCTGGGGATGATATACGCCGAAAATAGGCAGGTACCAGCACTCAGTGTTATCATCAATAGGTGGAGCAATCTCTGCATGGTTGTTTTTAAACAGCTTGTCCATAAATTCTGAGAACTGCTCTTTCATTTGAGGGTTTTTGGTTAAGTTGCGTCTCAGTGAGTTGAGTCTAGACAGCGCTTGGTCTCTGTTATTTGGAAGTGGCAAGCGAGGGGACTTGAATGGTAAAGGAGCAATCCAGTTATTGTTTCCATCTTGGTGGACTTCCTTTTCCATTATCTTAAGGAAGGTCTCATCCTCAAAGGACAGGGCATGCTGGTTGTCATACTCTGTGCGCTCAAAAACTTTCTCTCCAAGCTTTTCTTCTGCTGCATTGGGTTTTGAACTGCGTTTTAAGAAGCTACTCTTATGCTCCCCGCCATAGCATGGTTTTTCTTTGATCTTCAT